CCCTAACCCTAACCCTAACCCTAACCCTAACCCTAACCCTAACCCTAACCCTAACCCTAACCCTAAGCACATCACCAAGGAGGAGATGTGCAACAATGCAGACAGGATGCTCAAGGCAGCAAGTGATCACAACCTTGTCTTTGGAAGGGACAACACTCACTTGACCAAGGGTGATCAGGAGATGTTGCTGGACATTTCATGTGCCATTGGATGGAATCCTGGTCATGGCAAGCCCAGCTCTTATGCCAAGCAGGATGCATGGTGGCTCAAGGAGGTGAGAAGAGTGGCAAAGAGAGAGCCATGCATCAAGATTGCCTTTGCAAGGGAGCAGTACTTCAAGCTCTTTGCGGTGCTGCAGCCATACATTGACTGCCCACACTGCGCACATCCAGCTCCAGCCTTTGTGCTGGATGGTGGCAAGGCTCAGTTCAGGATCTCCTGCAGAAACACAAAGAAGTGCACCTACAAGATGGGCATGTCATCTGCCAAGGAGCATTTTGAGGTGATGGTGAGGCAGGGGAAGTTTCCAACAGATGTACTTGATGGCTTGGGCATCAAAGTGCCACAGGAAGAGGAGGAGGAGGAAGAAGAGGACTCTGAGGAGGAAGAGCTAAGTCCAAGGCCAAACAGAGTCACCCAGGAGCCACTGCCATCTCCCAAGAGCAAGGACAACAAAGCAGTAGAGGGAGAGGGTGATGAGCTGGATGACCTAGATGATCTGGGTGATGAGACAAGCTCTGGTGGTGCGTCTGAGTGGATGCCAACAGAAGACATCAGCCACCAGCAGCCAGACACTCCAGGCGCACTGACAAGGAAGAGAAGGTCAGGTGGTGTCCTGGAAGGCTTTGATCCCAAGAAGAGCAAGGTAGGGGCAGGACAAAGTATGATGGAGCCTGAGGTGGTTGATGCAAGGTCAGTTGTCCATCCCATCCATGCCTCTATCCTCCTCCCAAACCCTGGATGGGAAGGGATGAAGATACAAAAGCCCATCCTGCCTGGCATCATATACACCAAGGGCATCAAGGATGGTCACAACAGTCTCTATGTGGCCATGGCAATGTACCTGTTCCAGGACCAGAACCGGGCTTTGGAGGTAAAGAACAGGGCTAGCAAGTACTTCAAAGAGAACCCTGACTTGTTTCTTGAAGTCAGTCATCCCCTCGGCAGTGATTCTAGGATCAAGCATCTTGTGGCTACCTTTCATGGCACTGCAGCTAAGGACAAGATCATGATGGAGGCTGTAGCAGGTCACTTCAAGCAGTCCATCATGGTAATCAGCAAGGTGGAGGACAAGTGGCAAGGCATTGTTCTGCCTGCTGGAGGCAAAGGTCCTTATGCAGGCCTAATCTACATCCCAGAGAGGAGGCAATTTGAGCTGGCATTCCCTGCTGCTTGAGGAAGTTTTCACAGGATGACATGTAAGTAGTTCACTGTTGTGGCAAGTACCCCCACCCTCTTTTCCTCCACCCACTACACTGTAAATGTTCCATTCCATTCCCCCATCTATTGTGAGATGTTGTGAGCCAGGGGGAGGGGCCAGAGCGCTGGTCACGTGACAGCATCACAGCCAGGGGTAGAGGCCAGGGCGCCAGTCACATGATCTCCACCCTCAGGGGTAGGGGTGCAAGTGCTGATCACATGACTATTCCACTGCCAGGGGTAGGGTACAAGCGCTGGTCACATGACATCTCCATGGCCAGGGGCAGGGGCGCTGGCACTGATCAGGTGACAGCTCCTTGACTAGGGGCAGGGGTACAAGCGCTGGTCACATGACATCTCCATGGCCAGGGGCAGGGGCGCCGGCACTGATCAGGTGACAGCTCCTTGACTAGGGGCAGGGGTACAAGCGCTGGTCACATGACATCTCCATGGCCAGGGGCAGGGGCGCAGGCACTGATCACATGACAGCTCCTTGACTAGGGGCAGGGGTACAAGCGCTGGTCACATGACATCTCCATGGCCAGGGGCAGGGGCGCCGGCACTGATCAGGTGACAGCTCCTTGACTAGGGGCAGGGGTACAAGCGCTGGTCACTTGACATCTCCATGGCCAGGGGCAGGGGCGCAGGCACTGATCACATGACAGCTCCTTGACTAGGGGCAGGGGTACAAGCGCTGGTCACATGACATCTCCATGGCCAGGGGCAGGGGCGCGTGCGCAAATCACACCACCAAAAGGAGCTTAGGGGTAGGGACTGGAACCCTGCATGACCCTGCATGAGCAAGGGATAAAAAGTCGTCCCTGGGGGGATCTAGGGCCTCTTCTAAGTGCCATAGGGACTGCCCCTTGCGCTGGAAGGGGCATCCGTGACCAGAGATAGGGCCATGTCCCTGCAGAATTCTAGGGGCAATCTCTAGAAAAAATCCAGAGATGACGTGCAGCCCCTGCAGATTCTAGGGGCTACCCCTGGAAATTCTAGAGATTTTTCACTCTTTGGCCCATATCTCCACCAAAACCCCCAGGGTAGCATCTGAAACTTCAACAGCAGTATCAGGGCATCTTTCTGCTTCTTCTGAGCCCATGTTGTTTTTCAATCCCTTTGGGAACCCGTATGTAACCCTAACCCTAACCCTAACCCTAAGTGCGCCAAGCTGGTACATTGTGCACTGACAGAGGACAAGAGCGCTCAGTGAAGAATCAATGCACCAAAAGACTCCACCTCCACATTTTTACAGCGCACCTTTCTGCTTGTGCACACTGACTACTTCTGAGCGCTCTTCAGTGCCTGCTCCACATCACTTTGGCGCACTTCAGCGCCGCCCCAAAGTGCGCCCAACCACCCCTGTGGACGCCCAACCCAGCCACCTCCACATCACTCCAGCGCACCTCCCTGCCTGCGCGCACCAGCCACAGCTCACCGCTCTTCCAGTGCTCTTACACCTTCTCCCAGTGCCCCTTGGTGCACTTCATACAGTGCTTCTCAACGCACTTGACACTTTGAAAGCCCATATCTCCAAAGTTTGCAACCCCACCCCAAACCCTTCACACATGCTAAATGACTCTTCTGACCCTCTCCAAAACCCT